GTAGTAGGTATATACACGCCACATAATATAATCTGAGCTGACTTATATAGGCAAACCAGAGAGATAGAAGGATCCCAAACCACCCAGATCCTTCCATTCTCAGCAAAATCATAGTTCATTTCCCCTCTCCAACCCGGAAAGGAACTATGCAAAAGCTGGACTGAATTCTCCTCTGATATATGCGTCTCTAGAATACCACCCAGTAAAGGTTTATTCTTCATAATCCAGCCTCTAACAAAACTCTGACGAGATAAACTATTTAACCTTCTGATATTCCAACAAAAGACCTTCGACATAATTAACCCAAAAGTGAAGGTAGAGCAAAGCTCTTTCAAGTTGCACTAACCGAGGACTTACCTCGATTAGGCTGAGTAGAAGACGGAACCGAGGAGATCCTGTATTTATCGGGGCCAACCAGCTTTGACTGGGAAGATTCTCCTCTCCTTTTATTACTGAACAAAACCTTGGATTCCAATTTAGCCAACTTTTTCACACTCATAAAACCTGGAATCTGTTTCCTCAACCCAGTGAGTTGAGTCTTCTTCTCCTTTCCTTTAGATTTTGGACCCACAACTGTCCAAGGAATCTCAGATATCTCAACAGTCTCAGAATTTTGAACACTGAGATTTTTTTCAACTTTTTCCTTACCCATGAGTTTTTTTGCATCTCTCTCCTTAATCCATTCCCTGACCTTATCCTGAGTCTGCAGAGACATAGTCATATCTCTCTTATGACTAACTGTTTCTTCCTTAGGAGGAGAACTTCTGCTTCTCTCCTTTGATCTCTTTCTAGTGGCTGCTCTAATTCTAGTCCTTTTCTGTGCTTCAGAAAAACCCTCAGCCCCTTCAGCAATCTTAGCAGTCTGATTTGAGTTAACAACCTTCCACACTTGTTTCAATTTTGAGCCATTACCTAGAGAGATATTCGTTGTTGCAACAACAGTACCAGTTGGAGTGAATTCATCAGCCCTAAACTTCTTCTTCATTTGGGGTTTTGGACACCTATTGAGGAGATGACCAAATCTACCACAATTACAACACTTTGGTGGCAATCTAGGGTAGGAAACATTAACTCTCACTGAGTTGGACAAAGAATCCCTAACTATGATGGTAGTTGGTGGGGACTTCTCTAGAGAAATTTCAACTTTCACCTTGGTATTACCAAGATTAAACGGATCCAACTTAGACTTCTCAGTATGCAAGGGTTCACCAATCGCACTTGCAATAACGCTGATGTCGTCTAGCGAGTACATCTGAGGAGGAATATTGTGAAGAACAACCCAAGTAGGCGCAGTTTCGAGTTCCTGCATTCCAAGGGAAGCATTTACCGACCAAGGAAAAACAGAAAATGCGCAATTACCAGCTTGCCAGTAACCCACTTGCAGGACCCATTCACGAGTTGAAGAACACGGTATTAATATGAGACAGGAAGTATCAGAGACATTACGAATGACTATATTACCAAACTTTCCCCAAACCGGATTCAGATCTGTAAAAATCTTCTTCGGATGAGGAATGAGGCCGTGGAATTGCGCCACGATGTGTCCTTTCCACTGAACTGCCGTTTTCAAAAGCACAGATTCAGGAGCTTGGACGACCGGAGTACCATCCTCAACGTTTATACATAATTATGCAAACTTTTTATGAAATGATAAGTTACAAAGAACTCTCATCCATGATGTTGTCTCGATGCAAACCATATTTGAATCCCATCCGCGTACTTCTCGACACCTCATTTCCTTAGAGTGCTTGTCAAAGTCTTATAAGTTATAAAAATTATGGACCAAACTTGTCAATTCTTTTACAGAAGTAAGATGTGGAGAAGATTAATTTCGAAACAGCATTTAAATATTAATAGGATCTTAAAATTATATGATCAAGCTATAATAGGTTTGGCAACCAATTTTTTCTTTTAAAGAAGTGGCGACGTTAATGTTATTGAACGATAATCGGTCATGAAATATAGTATCATATGAGCAAATCACAAGCAAAATGCATATATAATATATAGTTTGAGCTATATATATAGTAATGTTATGAAATATCTATACAGTACTTATTTTAACATAAAGGTTATATAAAATTAACATGTGTATACTTGTTGCTCCACGACCATTCAATATATTGAGTTTTTGAATGACTAACTTGGTCAAACCACGAGGAAACTTATGCCATCTGATATATGGTCGCACTTTATGTGAACGATAAGATAGGGAAGAAATACTATATCAAAATAATAACTTAAAAACAAAATCGAACGATTCAAGAAATTGAATGAAGTAGGCAGCAATTCTTGGTTTCCCTTTTGCATAGTGTAAGCAATGAATACAAATTTTGACTTACTTGCAAGGGATAAATGGAAGGCTATCGAGTAGGAGTTTGATACTGGTCACCTAAATGCTAAACATTGTTCTGTTATTTTCATAGACGAGCAGATAAGCATTATTCTTCTCCGATCAATACCCTAGATTATCAAGTTTTATAGAGACCTAACTCAAAACCAACTAGCATGCAATTAATAAATTGGTGTATGTCATTTATATATTACTTTATATCCCATCTAACTTTAGATGAAGGATCCTAACAATAAGCATAATAGTTCATTACACGCCTTAAATTTTATCCATGCATGATTGTATTTATAGTTGAACAAGAAAAGCTGATAAGATATTAATTTGGTTGTTTATTATAGAGACCATAATCGAATTAAGATAAATTAAACATCACTTTCGAAATCTTGTTTGTTTTATCAATTCGGTTATAGTTACTCTCTTCATGAAGGGCAAGTCATTTTCTCACATTATTCACTGATTCCTGACACATAAACCAATCTTAATTTCTCAAAGCAAATAAAGAAACTATCTTGAAAGATAGGGAAAGAAACCTGCAAAAGTCAAAAACGCATCTATTTAGAGAAACTCTTGTCCTATTAACCACCATTATTGTTGTTTCTTATTTAGGTTTCAATTATTGAACATTGATGCAAGAAATTATAAATCTAGAAACGAAATGGAGCCAAAGAAAATGATCAAATGATCATTATGGTTTAGAGAGTCAAGTGGTGTTGCCACTAATTAAGTGTGTATGGTTGTATTAAGCACATGGGTGGTGTTGTCACTATCCTTACTACACCAGCTAATGAGTAGAATATAATAAAACTATGAGCAAATCACTATATTACTTATTTTCCATATTTTTAAAATCGTTAGACGCTAATCGGATGTTAGGATGTTGGTGTTGTTGTTTATATATGTTCTCAAGAACTATTATTTTTAGTTTTTTTTTTTTAGTAAGTTTAAACAAATATGAAATATTTATGAATGACTTTTACAACTGTTTTTATTTGTACGAAAAAACATATTAAGTATAGTCAGAATCCGATGGATAATATGGTAAAGAGAAAAAGTTAAATTGTATCCAAATTCTACACAAACAAATCACTAATACTGATAATATCGTCACTATCACAGATAATATCGTATGATGGTGTTCTCCACTCAAAAACCTAAACAAGGAAAAAAAAGATATGCGCTAAAGTTGGAGTGAAGGCTTTCTTCTCTCCGAGTTGTCGTAGAACATTTTCCAGAGATGAGTGTTGTTTGAACTTTTGAGTGCTCTCCAATTTCGGTTGCACTCTGATGATACTCCCTTGTCAAGTCTACCATAGGCATTTGAAGAGATTCAGTCTTGTCCTGACGAATCCTCTTTTGCTTAGCCTTCTCCCAGCTTGTCATCATCCATTCTCGTTAAATACCATACTTGCCCAATGCTTAAATTGAACCATATGTTTCATGCAAGCATCTGAGGTGGCATGCAAAACGTGTCAATTGACCCTATCAAATAGTTCATATAGCTTTTAGCCTTGTATTTGTTTTCCATCGCGAGCTTTGTCAATTTTTTTTTGATATTTGATATCGAAAAAATATTCGGTCCTTAATTTCATCATGAAACTAAAACGTAGACGCATGGGAGATAAACCGGCTTTAATAAAAAATATTGACTTTTACAATTGATAAACCGGTTTTAAAAAAAATATTAGACTATTACAATCGATAAACCGGTTTTAAAAAAAAATATTAGACTATTACAATCGATAAACCGGTGCCGTCAGAAAAAATTAAAAATTTGATAAACCCGTGAGAGACGACGTTTATAGACGGCTGAGTTTTAGAACTCTTTACGCACTTTTTAATTTAAACATATTTTAGGCTTTTGGGTAATTTTCGTTGGGCTTAGAGGCCCATATAAATAATCATAAATTGTGTGTGTGTTTTTGTCGGCATGTGTATTTAAAGTTAGTTATAATTCTCCTGAGCCTGGTACAGTCTCCGATGGGCAATGAACACACAGAGAATAATTAGTTAAAATAAAATAAAAAAGGAAAAATAGGGTCAGTCCCGCCCAAAGCTTCCCTCTCCGTTTTCATCGCAGACTCTCACCGTTGGATTTTATATTCGCTCTCTCTTCTTCACTCCACTGAGGCGTTTCTAGGGTTTTTTTTTTTTTTGTTCTATCGTTTCGTCTCCATATTGATTTCGATTTCAAAGAAGCGGTACACCGGAATGGAGAAAACTCCGACGCAGATTGTTTCCGAACTGGGTTCTCGTTTGCTTCAATTATCTCGTCCCAACAAGGATTCTCTGGTCAAGTTACTACGGGTAAAATTTCTGAGCTGGGTTTTGTTTTAGTTTACTCGATTTCATCACTTTGGGTTTGATTTCTTCACTGTTTACAACTTTTTTTATCAATCCGAAAAAACCTTGATACCTTTAAAAATCGACTTGAATTTGAGTGGGTTTCTGACTGGGTTTGCTGGATCAAAACCTAATTTGTGACGATTTCTCTATCTCTCTTGTTCGCTCTTTGCACGTTTGAAATCGATTTTGGTTCCTTTTTTTTTTTGTTGGGTAAGCTAATCGCTGATATGTCTGTGGCTTGAGCATCTTTTTTTTCTGGTGATATGATTTTTATATATATTTTCTAATCAGATCCGATTATTCTAAGAGTGTTTGCGTATACATATTTCTGTGAATTTTGTGTAGGAAGTTGCTAATACGCTGTCACAAATCGACCAGCCTTCAGCCACAAACAAGGAAAAAGGTCTGAAACTGTTAGAAGCTGAGTTAAGACCTCTGAAGAAATCCATTATCAAGCATGGTCTTCTTAAAAATCGTGATAACGACGTGAGTCTCTTGGTCACTGTTTGTGTCTCCGAGCTTTTCCGGATTTTAGCACCTAATCGACCTTTTGAAGACGAATATCTCAGGGTATAAAGATTCTTTTAACTCCTTCTCAATAATCATATATATGTTTTTGTTCTCTTCAGTTTTCTGGCTACTCGCATTAACATTGTCATATCCCAATTTCAGGATATCTTCACTCTCTTTCTTGCTCAGCCCTCTGAGCTATCTGATACT